TTGTTTTCACTCATAAGTTTCTTCTTCTTCTTTCCATGGATAGAACCTTATTGCTTACAGTTAGAGGATTAGCAATAGAAGTTGGTAATTAGCTGACAACATCAAGAGATGCTTGTTCTAGAAAACTACAAAAGCGATTAAGCTAGCCTCTTCTGAAAAGCTGAAGGATTAACTTTGACCTCTTCTTGAGTACAAACAGAGACTGAATCCCTATTCGAACCACTCAACCTTCTCCTCGAAGGAGCGAGGTTGGTATGAGTCCCACCTAGCTAGAAGCCTACTGGTCCTTGACTCATAAGTGCTTGACCTTGGGTGAGAGTTGGATACTACGTGCATTATCATGTGCACTTTATCATGTTATTTATTTTAACTAATATTCTTTGTTTTTGTGGGATGGGATTAGCTTTGTTTTTGCGTGGCTTCCTGATGGCATCTATGGGAGTCCGTCTATTGCATCCAAATTCCTTATTTTGCTGGAAATCTCTTCAATGCCTATTTTTTGTTTTTTGTTCTTTCAATCTTGCTCAATACTTGCATATTGATATTGAATGAAAACCCCATGAACCTGCTGCAAGGTGGAGAAAGGACTGTTGCTGGAGTTTCACCAGAGCAGAAAGTGAAAAAGAGAAAAGCAAGCAAGTGTGGGAAACGTGTGAAGGTAATAACAAATTTTAGCGTTAGCCATAGCTCTTGATCGAGGAGCAAAAAGGACCTCATTTTTGCTTTTTTCCTCCATTGCTTTCATTGTGTTGTCTTGATTTTGATAGAAGAGGGAATCAAAAGGGATGGTGCATTTGCTACGTGCTATTGTTGAAGAAAATGAGAAGATCAAGAGTGGAAATGACATCTTAAAGCAGAAGTTGCAACTTAGGCAGGATGGCATCGAAATTCAGAAAACTGAACTTTGCGTTTCGCTGAACAAAACAATCACCGTTCAAGAAAACCTTGTGGAAGCATTGTGTCAAGAGCCATCATTCCAAAGCCTGATGGTGCGTTTCTCTCCGTCTTCCTTTCAATTTCTCTCCTTATTTTGTTTAATGGAAGCATAATATGCTTTATCACGTGCGGAGTAAATCAAAATTTAGACATACTAATTTAAGTTGCGGTAAATTATGTGCTTCATCTTCCCACTTAATCCAGCTATAATTAAGATGCTTAGGTCATGCTTGTAAACTGGTAGGACTATCATTGGTTCATGCATGGAAGGTTGTTTTTCATGAATCCCTGAAGCATATAAGAGGGGTGAATTAGATGCTATAAAAACTAATCTTACAATTTCAATTCATTTCAAACTAACTCAAAAAACTCAACAACATTCATAAATCCTGTTCAATATCAAACCACCACACAACAAATACAAGGCAATAATGCTAGAGATTTCATCATCCAAATATAAGACCAGCTGATATCATTCTTATGTCCACCGCTAGGTCAAACGATCCTATCAACTAGCTCACACAAAACATGATTTGAAATAGTTAAAGAGCTGCTGAGCTGCCGACCCAGACAGAATCTTAAAAAACACGACATATTACATGTCGGATGACAATTCCAGATAAACATCCATATGACATTTCTCAATTAACACATCATATTCTTCCCTGGGAAATTGCCTGAGACCATATAAAATCTCATAAAATTTGGAAAGGAATGATTTTCAAAACCTGGAAGCAGCTCAACATAAATCTCATATATGATAAAACCATTAAAAAAAATGTACTCTGTAACGTTTATTTGAAAAAAAGTTGAAATCTTTGAAACAAGTAAATGCAAGTAACATGAGTATAAATTTTCATCTAAAAATTGATTCCTGGTCCCCATTAAAATCTACTCCTCCTTAGTTGTAACCTTGAGCCACCAAACCTATCTTTTTACGAACCACATTTTCAGACTCGTCAAGTTTGTTTCTAAAGACCTATTTTGTTTCAATAATTTTGTTAGCCTTGGATCTAGGGTCTAGGAAATAGTTTCCAAGGCTTGTCTTCTCTTATATTGATTGAGTTTCTGTTACATGACAAGTATTTAATACTCATTTTTCAAGGCATCATCACAAGTTTTAGCTTCAAGAAGGGAGATGAAACAAACATTATCGACGTGATTCACTATAGCAAATTTAGTTTGAACATATTTGAAATATCTCCAATGATGTCATCTTGTGGTCTTAAATTCTTTATAGCATTTGGAAGAACACAAGACGCTCACACATCAATTTATTGGTTGTCTTTGTTTTGAGCAATTTGAAGTTCTTCCATGGATTTGTCATTCTGCAATGCATCCCCATGAGGTTTATTTATGTTCAACTTATAAAGATCAACCTCTATCAATGTTCCTTTATCATTTCTCTCATCAAAAGGGTTAGATTAATAAAAACAATACATGCATTGGTTCCTATATAATAAGAATCCTTCTCTTATAAACCAATTATGTTTTACTAGTAGTGGAATATTTAAGAAAAATACTATCATCGAATTTAGCATCAAACTTTCCCAAGTTTTGTTTTGTATCAAGTATGAAACATTTTGAGTGAAAAACTTGAAAGTAAGAAATATTGAGTTCTCTTAAACCAAATCTCATAAGGCATTTTATGTAGAATAGATCTAATAAGAACTCAATTTAAAAACATAACATAAAGTACTAAAGGTTTCCACCTAAAAATATTAAGGTAGGCCATACTTTTTACACATAGTTCTTCTTGAAGTGACTATTTTTTCCTCTTAGCAACTCCATTTTACTATGGAGTTCTTGGTGTTGAAAACTCATGAATAAAAATATTTTCAATATATGATTTTTCAAAGGCAATACTATCAGATTTTCCACCATAGTCACTCCTAATTTTCAAAATCACAAGGTCTTTTTCATTTTAAACACTTTTGTAAATTTCAAGAAAGCTTAAAGTGTCTTACCCTTGTGGGAAAGAAACAAAACTTTTATATATCTTGAATAATTATCTTTGATGATAAATATATAATTATAACCACCAAGACTAGTTATCCGCATTGAACCAAATAGGTCTAAATGTAATGACTAGAGTGATTAAGATGTTGATACAACATTTTTGGGTTTGAATGAGATTTCACCTGCTTTTCCAATTAACACACGTTATTACATATAACTTGTATATCATCATCATCATCATCATTTAATGTAGCAGCATTTATTTCCTTTTTTTCATATTTTTTTTGTTTATGTCATGCTTCCCTTTCTTGTTTGCATTAGGAAAATCATATTTCACATGACTTGACTTTTTGTAATCAAAGCAATTGATAAGATCCCTCTTGCTTGAATAACCTTTGAAGTCCCTATGGTTTTCATACCTTTTCTTGTTCAAAAACTTGACTAATCTCCTAGTAATCAATGTAATGGCCTCATTATCATCACTACTACTTTCATTATCCCATTTGTGTAGCCATGTAGACTTCAAAGCGATAGTTTTTTTTGGAATATTTTCATTTACTTCGAGATCCTTAATCTTTTCTTCATGTCCTATTAGCGAACCATTTAAAGGTTCTTGAATTCCTTTATTGCCATGACTTTTAGCTCCCAAACTCAAGGTAAATGACCTTAAAATTTTGCCAACCATTCTCTCTTTGGTAATGATTTTACCTAATGTCTCATGCTTAATAATCTCATGCTCAATAATCCATACTCTCTAGTGAGACATCAATCTAGAGTCTTTAACTTGGCTCGACTTTTCATGAGTAACCTCAAACAACTTCCATATCTTTTGAGTTGTCTTGTGATTTTTTACCCTAGTGAACTCTTTGTTAGATAAAACATAAAAGAATTCATTTATGCGTTTGCATTACAACTATGATTTCTTACTTGTCTAACATGTCACTTACTAATAATTTTAGGAATAATGTTCTCATCCAATATCAGTTTTGGCGGGTCCAATATACCTTTCTTTACAATATTTCAAAGTTCAATATCACATTACTTTAGGAATGTGCTAATTATAACCTTCTAATATGCGTAATTTTTCTCATATAAAAGGAGCTTTTGTCAAGCTTTGTCCCGTAAATAACATGATCTTAACTCTTAGAGTCGTTGCTCCACAACCAAATAAAATATCGAAGCATCTAAGACTGAAGGTAAATCAGGTGTTCTAGAAACTAACCTCACAGTTTTGGTTTTTTGAAACCATCATTTCCAACACATAAACACAACAAATGCAACGTAATAATAGAAAAAAATAAATAAAAATAAGGAAGAGAGATTATGCATGGATTTTATAGTGGTTTGACACTTGCACAAATATTTAACAAGATTTTTCACTTATAAAAAAAAATGAAAACAACACTCACCAATAAGATTGGAGAATGATTAAAGGTAAGCTCAAAGTTAAAAGAATATAATTATGTCAAGACAATAATAATTGCCCAGTGATTGTATCAAGTTGTAAAGGTAAAAGAAAATGCCTTTTAATAGAAAAATATGGCTAATTAGTTGTTTTGAGATAGAATGAGTAGTCTAGAATTTTTAAATTATGAGAAGTTTGGTATGCTAGATGGTTTAAGCTAGATAAAGTAAGAAAGTATGTTAAGTGTAGAGCAAGGGTGGTCGTGTGAAGTGTTTAGCAAGCTTGTCTTATTTGTTTTTAGTAACAAAGATAACAAGAATATTTTAAATTCAATTTTTTTTGTAAGGATAAGCTAATTAATTTTTTGATGTAAGTACATGTTATGTACAAGTCTCACACACTTGTACACATGAGATAATGATAACTTTCAGCTCACAAGATTTACAAAAGGCTGTTCACTTCTAGAAAAATAGGTCACTTGGTTTACCAATTGTCCGATGCATTGTGTTTGACATGGTTGTCTAGTTTAGTAGTTATTTTTAGAATTTGTATTTAGTATGATCAACTTGTTTAACACATGTCATGTAGTTTATTAGAAGTTTTATGAATTGTGTTTGGTATTGTCATCTTGTTTACTAGAGACCTTAGGCTTTTTAAGCGAACACAAAATGTTTCTAGGAATTTTGGAGCTAGTTCTTGAGTATAATAAGTTGGTTTTAAGACTTAAATTAGTTCTTAAAAAGATTTGAGCCACAATAAATTAACATTTAAGACAAATCTTGAAGCAAAAGTCCCATCAATATAACCATGAGTTTCACGCAACTTTAAGACATATCAAATATCCTTGAGATGATATAAATGATAATGAACCTATATCAACACAAACTCAAAGAAATGATTATTAAGTAATGGATACCTTTAAATCAACATTTCAAGCTTATGACTGAGAGTATCTATTTTCTTCTAGTATAAATTAAATTGATAATATGAATTGATAAACATGATATATCATGTGAAAGCATACTTTTATGTGAAGTTTGAGCAGTCTTAGGCAACTCAAAAACTTGAGGTGATGTGTGGAAGAGTTTTTATTTTAGTGATAAGGGATTTTTATTTTTGACAAATTAGATGATATTGAGATAAATTGTCATTTCAAGAATGATTTTGACTTTAAATATGGCCAAATATTTAATCTGTAATATTATTAATAAATGACTAAATAATTCACCGTCTTATCATGTTGGGATTTTAATATCAATTTTTTTTCTTTACTAAGTTGATCTTTTAATTTTCTGGGTTTTTTTATACTTAATAAAATGCCCTCTTATTAAATAGCATGACGTCATTCATTTACTATAAACTGTTTTACTTTATTTTAACCAACTTATAGATTTAAAGCTTTATTTATTTTCACTATTTTTGTTTTTTTATGCTTTACTCTTTTAGTTCTTATTATATGCTCTCGTTTGCAGTTTACCACTCTTTGACTTGTATTTTTTTTAAAATAATTTCATTTGAGAATTTTAGTGTCTGGATTGAAATGGTTAATAAAACTATTTTTCAAGCTTCATATAATGATTAAAGATTTTGAATTGTAGTAGCAATCTAATTGAGTTTTCTGCCACGTCACCTAATAGTCGTTATTGAACTATGATATCATGATTTTCAACGTTCTTCACTTGATAAAAGATTTTAACTCACATGTAGATATTCTTTTGCTGCAAGTTTGAGAGTTCCTTATTCTTAATAAATCGGCTGAATTGACTATAAATTAATCAAAATTGGTATATTTATGAAATCTTCTTTTCCGCAAGAGGAGAACTATTAGGGTTAATGCATGACAACTGTCTGTACTAACCAAAGAATGTTCACGTTACTTAGTTGAGGACTGTTTGGCAAAATAAACTATATTACAAGCTATTTATTGGATACAAAGTTGAAGTACTTATTGTTAGATTGGTAACATTATAAAAAAGCTTAAAAGAATTTGAAAATTTAAAGAGTTGTTGAAAACATCATTTGAATATTGTTATATCTCTCTTTTAATATTTGTCATCTTAAAAGATTTAGATTAGAATGATCAGTAGTATTTAACATCCTGATATCAATAATTTAGTAATGTTGCTTAGAATCTAATGATAATTTACATAGAAGGAACACAATTCTTGTAGATTTGGTACTAAGTGTGAATAATTCTGATAAGATGTAATGTCTGCATAGAAAAAGAAGAAGAAAATATAGGGGTGATTACGAGTGAGGATGAATTACCTTAATGTGTCTGTAATGATTTATGGGGATAACATTTGCATGCTGATATAGCCATTAAAACCCTTGTGGATTCCGCAAGTAAAATGTATTGATGGCTGCGTTTTTCTGATAAAAGTATATCTTATTATAGTCACCATATGGAATTGATGGAATTGACATCGTTAAGTATATTTCTAGACTTTTGGATGATGCTATGATCTCTTTTCTTACAGGTGGGATCTAACCATCTTAATGTGGCGCAGTATGCTATGTTGTTCCCAAACGCCGACGGGGACGTTAGGCTGCCATCCAAGGCAAACCAGTCCTTCAATGACATTGCTGAACTGAAGCATCGTTTTATGGTGAGCAGCAACAAAATTGAACTTTTATGCCAAATGATCATAAAATGAAAAACCTGAAGAAGAAGCATGAAAAGGTAACAAGCAAAATTTGCTTAACGTTATCACAAGCATTGAATTTATAAAATGAAAAACCTGAAGAAGAAGCATGCAAAGGTAACAAGCAAAATTTGCTTAACATTATCACAAACATTGAATTTAAGAAGTGTTGAACTTGTTTAATCCTGTTTGATAAGCACTGTACAAAAAAGTTTGTCATTGTGTGGATATTTAAAAAATTGGCTTTGCAGGTATTTGATTGAAAATAATGGTTCCTTTGCCTAACATTAACTGCTGTTAAACCAAGCATATTTTGGTTGAAAATACAAGCCCAGAACAAACGACATATTTTGAAAAAATAATTGTGATGAACGCCGATAGGTATACCACTCCGGCTCTCTAGCTCCCCCGTTGGCCTTTTAGTCATGAACTAGTTCGAGCTTGTTTGTTTACGCAGTTGTGATTGGATTTTAATTAAAATATAGTTTGTACCAGTTTGATAAAGAAAAAAATCAATTTATTTTGCATGGATTTCACACAATTTTTGCGGTTGAAAGATAATTAATAAAAAACATAGAAATTGCCTAACATTAACTGCTGTTAAACCAAGCATATTTTGGTTGAAAATACAAGCCCAGAACAAACGACATATTTTGAAAAAATAATTGTGATGAACGCCGATAGATATACCACTCCGGTACTCTAGCTCCCCCATTCGCCTTTTAGGCATGAACTAGTTCGAGCTCGTTTGTTTGTTTGTTTACGTGGTTGTGGTTAGGTTTTAATTAAAATGTAGTTTGTAATCGTTTAATAAAGAAAAAAATCGATTTACTGTACATGGATTCTATATAATTTTTATAATCGAAATATAGTTAATAAAAAGCAGAGAAATAAAAGCAGAGAAATTTCACTGTTAATAAACTGTGCAATTAATAACATGAACAGTGCAAGCACTATTCAATGAACAATGTAACAACATGAGGAATTGACTTATTCAGTGAACGGTGTAATTAACAACATGAACAGTGTAAGTGAACGGTGTAATTAACAACATGAACAGTGTAATTTACTTGCACTGTTTACAGTTAAGTGAGTTTTAGTTTTCATTTAATTTCATTAATATTTTTTAAAAAAATTAATTTAAAATAAATTAAATTTATTTGCATTGTAATATGAATAATATTTTCTTGAAAAATTAATATAACAAACACATTAAACTATTTTTTTTTTCAACTTCAATTTCAACCATAGTTTTATTCAAATATCTATTTTTTCAAACTAATTCCAACTAAAATTATTTTTTATAAAACAATTTTTTTCAAACCACAGCATCTATCATTACACTAAACACATTCTTTCTCCATTCATCAAACCAATGGACTCGAGAGGTGTCACCTTGCCCCTTTATTTGAGATAGACTGGCTACCCTCTCTCTCATTTTTTTGTCTGATTGGAAGGCACCTCCGCCGCCGTAAACAGGAGCAGCATCTCGCTCTTTGGTAAATGGCGAACTGGCTTATGCGTGAACCAGGTTGGGTAGCAATAGTTTGGTACCAGATGAGAATTCTGGGGCACACTACCGATCCCTACGTCTTAAGCCCCGGCTGATCTTCCCTCAGCGATTGGGTTAACGTGAGCTCGACCTGAATTCGAAGTAGCATGTGGTAGGCAGCATGTATACGATAATTTTTTTTTTTTCCCGGGTGAGCCAAACCCTGTACTTTTAAAAATTTTTACTTTTAATAATAATTTAAATTTTAATTCTTAAACTGAAATCATAATTTTCTTAAAACACTCTTTAATTCTCCCATTTATTTTTCTTACTACCCGTTGTAAACTATATATATATGCACACACGCTGCGCTCTTGGAAACAGACAGCACCAAGCAAGAAATACTTATTCTCTTAAACCTTGTTTTCTTCTACTTCGCAGTTTTTGCATCCCCTGTTTTGAGGAGGAACATGTCGAATCCTGAAATCTTGTGCAGAAAAAATTATCTTTGAAAATAATATCGCCTAAAGTTTACTGCTCGTTTTTGTTCGGCATAATTTTTCAAAAGACGTGGACTTTAAATCATGCTTTGTCTGATTGGTCTGCGCTAAATAGATTAAGAAATGCCTTTGCTACCTGCAAAATGGTAACCTTAGTGGAAGTCTATTCCTGCCTTGTATCAAAATTAATTTGTAAGTAATATTAGGATGAAAATGTATCATAGACCACTGAACTTAAAAATATTAATTAGTTAGTTTATCATGAAGATAAAATAAAAATAAACTCTCATATAGATAACAAGTATTAGTGAATGATAAACTATACTAAATTACTTAATGGCAGTAAAACTATATATTTTTCTTAATATACTTTAATGTGTTCTTTGTTTAGCTTATGGGATTTCTTAAAATGGTGTTATGATAATGTTGGAGATACGCTGAAGTCAATGTGATGGACCAAATGATATTTTCTCTCTTACAAGTCATTTTATCTCCATTCAATCTCATGTGATGAGAGTGTGTTTGAGAGTGTAATTATGATTGTTTTTTAAAATGTTTTTTACTCAAAAATATATCAAAATAATATATATTTTTTATTTTTTAAATTATTTTTTATATCAGTAAATTAAAATGATTTTAAAACACCAAAAAAAATATTAATTTGAAGCAAAGAAAAAAATAAAAAAATTTAATTTTTTTCAAAAACGCCTTTAAAATACAAAAATAAACAGGGTCAAAAGAAAGGATCCTAGCCAACAATTTTCAAAAAACCTCTCATGTTATCACTTTCGACTATTGATCACTTGTACCTTTTCTTTCAAACAATTAAGTATAATTTTTCTATTTTTTTTTAAATCACTCCATACAAAAGGTGAAATAGGTAATGATATTAATAGAAATGAAAGAAAAATTAATAATATTGTTATGAGGTAAAAAGAGTAGATAAATTCTCGATTTTAAAAACCATAATCAGTTGATTAAAATAAAAAATACACATGGTGAGTTGATTATATATATTAAAGTTTTTTTGATAGATTGGTAGAAACACAAAGTGCAAATAACATGTTCAAGCTAAACAAATTAGCCAATAATCCTTTTGTTATATTTTTGTTCTTGTTACTCTATTAAGGGTTGGCTAATGTTAAACACATTACATTTATATTTGCTTTACTCGTTGTTTTTTTCTTAATCTTGTAATAAACCAATCAATCATATAACTATGTTATACTAGATATGTTTCTATTAACTTTTATATTTATAGGTTATTTTTAAAAAAAATTAACTTTTATATTTATAGGTTATTTTTTTTTTTTAAAAAAAAACTATTTATATGCCTGGAATTGAGGATGGTAACATGGAAATCTATTAAGCTACTTGACTTTACCTAACAAGAATGAGATCATCCATTCAAAGTTATCAAGGTAGTCAAAATAAACACCTTAACATCACATCTAAAACATGTTTATTCTAAAAGCTCTCCCTTGTACATATCACTTGAATTACCTCAAGATGCCTCAATAAAAATGTAACTATATTATTGAAATAAAAATAATGTATCCTTAACATATATGTCCTATCTACGAATCTTTAATAGGGGGCTTCTAACCACTCTCTTTGAAAGGGATTGACTTGGCCTTCCTAGCATAGTATCCTTACAATCTCCAAGGGGAGGGTATGAGATCTTCTTGTTGCAATGACACATTCTTCAGGTGATGTCCAAGGACACCAATTCATCAAGGGTTGATTTCGAATTCTCTATTCTCTAGTGTAATTTTGGTCCAGGTGATGCCTACAGATCTCTCATCAATTCTTCAGGGGTTAATCTCTAATTCCTCATTCCCTAGTATAGTCTTAAATTGATATTTTATTTAGGTGATATTTAAGGACCTCTCAATAATTTGTTAGGTGTTAATCTTAGACTTCTCATTCTTCAATATAGTCTCAAACTAACATGACTCTTTAATAAGAGGGTCTCGTACTTTATATTATCTTCAGAGATGATCTTGAATCTCTTATTCTTAAACACAACCTCTCACACCCTATTACATCATAGGGAGGTAACATACCTCCCACACTTCAATACAATCATCTTCAAAAGATGAACTTGGTCTCCATGGTGTAATAGCATCACCCTCCATAAGTTTCTTCTCCATCTCTTAGAAAAATTTATAAGTATAGGTTTCAGTATCCATCTCTTTAACCTTTTAGAGAAATTTTCCAAGTACAGGCTCACCCTTTATGGGTTCCTTCCAACCACTTGGAAATTTTTCTATTATACAAACTCCTTTTTCATGGGTTTCTTCACCTATTAGAAAAACTTTCTAAGTATGGATTTCTCTATAGTTTCATCTTACATTCCTAGAAAGTTTTTGAAGTATAGGTTCCTCCATGGTTCCCTATATATACTTAGACTTTTTTCAACCATGGTGAACACCCTTGCATATGGGCTCCCCGATATATTACCGGAGGTTTCCACCCTTCTTATTATATGAAGAAGAACGATGAACTTGTCATGGTAACTGAGTATTTTTAGAGGTCTTTATGGATTAATACCACAAAAACTTAGGGGCTACTAATAGATTCAAATTTAAATGACCTAAAAAACCTAAAAAAACCTGTAAAACATCCCTTTCTAGGCTCAAGTTACCATACTTAAGCCCAATTGCTACCAAAAAACATGGGCTCGGGCATGACACCTTGTTAGGCATGTCATACCCAATAAGAGTTAGGGGTGCTAGCGCTAAGAGCCCTTTTCTAGGTGCAGGTGTTATGCCTAAAACCAATTTTTTTAGGTATTAAATGCGTCAACACCCCTTACTGAATCTTGGCATTATATCTGGACCGCCCTAATTAATTTTTGGGCTTAGGCATACACCCCCAAGCCATCTTATTCAAGCCCAACTTTTCCTTGGAAGTTTTCTTCGGACCCCATACAAGCCCTATAGTGTTTTATAATGGTCCGATATGTATTATTTTAAATGGAATATAACTCAAAATATCATAAAGATAAAATTACACTTCATTATTTCCTTTCTATAAAATGACATAACTCATAAGTTATAAATATACCTTGAATCCTTCAAGCCAAGAGTTCATAATCTTTTATTTTTTAATATTTTCAGCATACATATTTTCAAAGTTTATTTCTCTAAAATATAATTGCATTTTTTTCTATAAAATTACTGATTTAAGCATATAAAAATCCTAACATTCATAAAAAAAAATCTTTTATAAGTATAAGCTACTAGCTACTAACCACGTGGACTATTCATATTAAACCACCAGATATCTCGGCAAGAAAGAATAGATCAAATTACTTAAATTAAGAAATTAATTAATAATTTTATACATCAATTTTATTTTTAAATATCTTAGATTTTGAATCAAGAAATACTTGTCATCATACAACTAGATTTGTGGCGTATTCTTTTGAAAATGAACATTGGTTGCTTAGTTTACAATACTCTTAACTATCATATAAAAAATACACATACAAATTCAACATTCAGTATTTTAATAATGTGATGATCAGAACTACACTTTTAATTTATTTATTTTAGTTAAATGATAGACAAAATAAAAATCACCCTCGATATATTTAGTTCTTGCATAAAACACTAAATTTGTTGAGAAATAGATGGCCCCACTAAAATCAATTTCTAGCAAAAAGTTTTTGGCTCGAGGCGCCGACAAAAAACATGTTTTCTCATTTGCACATTTATTTTATTTTCTCATACATACCAAACACCAATAAATAATTTTCAATTAAAATAATCAAGCATTAAAAAATAGCTTATTTTCCGTGAGTTACATTTTGTCTCAGGAGCGAAGTTTTTTATGATGGAACAATTTTTCAATCATTTGAATTTATTGGAGTAGTTTCTAACATAATTCTGTCAGTAATTTTGATAAATTGTGGAGGGAATTTTTTTTTAATTTCTGACTAGATTTAATTTTTCAATGACTTTCTATTTAATTTTTTAAATATAAGGATTGAAATATATATATAAAAAAATAAAGTATTTGATCAAAATATAAAAATTTTAAACAAAAAGATCAAAAAAGAAAATGAAAGAGTTTTGAGGGTTAAAAATCCTAAAAAAGCGTGTGATGAACCCTAACAAAAAAATATTCTCTAGTTTTAATTTTATCGTCAAATTAAATCGTTATATTTTTAATATTTTTTAAGTAATAAAATTATTTTTTATTTATAAAATTAAACATTAAAAAAATATAAAAAAAAATTTAGATCATGATAACCTTATAAAATATAAATTATTAAACTTAATTTTCTATTAATACAAGTAAAAAAACTTAATAATCAAAGAAATATTAAAATATAAAAAAATCATAAAAACCGTAATCTATAATGTTTTATTAAGTAATAAATAATGAATTCACCATTTTTACAAGAATTTTTTATAATATTTTTATTTTTTTATATTAATCTTTTTGTGTAAGGAAATGAGTGACAATTTGAAAAGCAATCTAATCTATGTTTTAAAAAAAATTAATTTTTTGTTAAAAAGCAATCTAATCTATGTTTTAAAAAAAAATAATTTTTTGTTAAAAATTAATATTTTAATATTTTTAAATCATTTTAATATATTAATTTAAAAAAAGTAAAAACATACTTTCAATCACAATCATAACTACATAATAAAATGAATATTGTACCGTGTAATGCACCCACGCGCGCATTTTAGAGATTCTTATTATAAGTAATCTGACATGTTTCTTTTCTTTTCTTTTGCGTGTAAGCATTCAATTGGTCGAGTTTTTCTTCGCTATAAAGGATACGTACGAGAAAAGCGATGCAAAGCCCATTGAAAATTAGTTGGGTTTAACAAATGAACAATCTAGTGTGTAATCTTTCTAACAGGAGCCCAGCCGTGTCGGTACTATTGATTTTGATTTAGTATTTTAAAAATATTTTTAAAAAAATTAAAAATTATTTAAAAATATTTTTTAAAAAATTAAAAATTATTTTTTTATTTATTTTTAAGTTAATATTTTTTAATATTTTAAATTTCTAATATCAAAAATAATTTTTGTTAAATATATTCTAAGTTAATATTTTTTAATATTTTAAATTTTTAATATCAAAAATAATTTTTTTAATATATTTAAAAATAAAAAATATTTTAAATAACAACAAAACAAATCTCCTCTCCCAACAAATAACAAATGTTAGGGAAGAGGAAACAACACATTTAAGGAATCGTGCGAAGTCGCGCGACACCAAAACTCATCGATCGGTCGAATGGCTGCAGAACATGCCGTTACAGCATGGGACCTTATATCAAACAATCGTCACGCAACAAATAGAGAGGGATCACGCGTGTTCTATTTATGTATAAATGGAATTGGAGGGGGAAGTGCTCTGATCACCCAAGTCCTCATAATATAGAGAATTAACTTCAAAGGTCTCTTGTTGCATGATTTAGATATTGGGTGTCGTGTTTGTGCAGAGATTAGGAAGATCACTGTAGGACAAATAATGGGATCAACCAAATATCACCAGAAGTCATTTAGAACGATGCATTCTCATGAAAATCCTGAGGTACGTATCAAGTTTTTGTTTTCGTAATTCTTCGAAACTAACACAGATTTTCTTACCTTGTGTTATTGATTATGTATGTTGGCAGAATAGTACTAGAATCATAAACAAGCTGCAAGCAGAGATGGCAGAGATAAGCAAGCAACATGAAGAGATCAAACAAGGGCAGAAGGAAATGAGAGAAAGGTTTGAAGAGATGGATTCAGAATGTGAGCAACTCAAAAAAGAGACTGAAGATATATCTCATGCGAGCGACAACGTGCAACTTCGTCTCAATATCATGCTTGATATCTTGAAGGCACGGCAAGAGGATGGCTTTGCGAAAGTTTCCTATCCGACTGGCTCTCTCCGGTTGGTCTAAATTCCTTCTCCTGTATAGTTTATCTATTCCATTTTACAAGTAAAACCATTAAAACGTGAAACCATCATATGCCATCCATATTTCTTTCAAGAACTTCAAATTAAACATGCACGCGCAGAAGTTAAGGGTACTGTCTATAATATTATGTTGTGTCTAATATTAGTTTGTGATCCCTTTCCATTTGTTGACAGTGGATCAATGAAATAACAGCCGCACCTGTTAAAGGAAAACCAGCAAACGGAGGCTGCATGCCCACCCGTGTCGACGGAAGAAGCGGTCTAATTTTATTCAAACGGCTTTATTATGTTTTTGTTTTTAGAAAAAAACATACTTGATTTAAGATTTTTAGGGAGTTTATTCTCAACTTATTTGTAGTTCTCCTTTGATTATCGACCTTGTAATAAAGCAATCGCTATAATTATATGTATGCTATGTTTGTGTATTTACAAATGGGGTTTTGCCTCTTATTTTGTCATTGTGCTTTTAAATTCCTTAATTAAAACCTTGTATTTTTTTTCTTGTATTGGTTAAGTACTTCCGTTTTTCATTTTGTTTTGTCACCGCTCTT